CATGACACACAAAAAAACAGTTAGGAATCCCTCCTCTATAATCCAACTCTCTCATTTTACAGATGAAGAAAGTGAGGCCCTAAGGAGGGACATGATTTTCACAAGGTCACAAAGCTAGTTAATGGTAGAGCTGGGACTAATCCCCAAGTCTCCTGATTTCTACACCTGGGAAGGGGAGAGTTGGGGGGGGGTTCCTTCAATGCCACATCAGAGCACCTATATATTTAACTAAAGTAAAAGTCTCAGATTATCTCCAGTAAGAAGTCTAGGCAACCCTCTTGATTCTTAAGGAGAAAGCTTCTTTGTGCCTCTCCCTACCCAGCTAATGAAGTTCCAGAGTTGGCTTTCACAAATCCAAGTTTGGATCAGAAAGACAGCTTGGCCTTCTTTGATGTCAGGCGAGGTCATTAATTATTGGGGAAACATGTGAAGATGGCTATAAACTCTGTATTTTTGTTTTCCTAAATCATGTGGCCTCTCTTACACAAGGCCACACGATTACCCAGATTTACTTGGTCATGTCAGAGGGTAGAGGAGAGAAGGGAAAAACAAGACAAAGCACAAAGGCTAGGGAGCCAAGAGACCTCAGTTCTAGTCCCAATTCTGCCACTAAGTCCTTGTGTGACCTTGGGCAAGTCACTTCTTTGAGCCTCTGTTTCCCCATCTCGTAAAATGATGGAGCTGGATTTATATGTTCTCTAAAGGCTCTTCTGGAGGACATCTCCAGTCGTCCTGATCTATATCTTGCTACTGGACCCAGATGGCTCTGGAGGAGAAAGTGAGGCTGGTGACTTTGCACAGCCCTCCCTCACTTAAATCTAACTTACTTGCTAGTCATGGCATCATCTTCCCGATGTCATGGTCCTCTCTGAGAATGAAGGATGAAGGACAAACAACAACAACAACACGATATTTCTAGTCTCCCTCCACCTGACAATGAGAAAGGTGGTGGCTGGAAAGGTGTGGGAATACAAAATCAATCTCCTGCTATTAAGAAGCTCATTAATGAAAAGTCACTTGGCAAAATGTCAAGTATTCCAGCACCACTGACCTTAATGACTTACACCCAGTAATTCAGAATTTATGATCACTGGGATGGGAGCTGGCCTAAGAGGTTATTGATACAAATATTTCAGGTCCAAGAAGGGTTCATCTAAGTCCAAGAAAAAAATCTGCTCAACCAACCCCCTCATTTTATAGATGGGGAAGATGAAGACAAGAAAGGGAGAGTGATTTGCCTCCAGAGATCACTGGGACGAAAAGGCTTATCCAACACAATGAGTTCATAGCAGAGATGGGACCAGAACAAGACCTGGAGGTCTCCTGGCTTTCAGCCCTGTTCTCTTTCCACTATGGTGCACAGCTCTCACCACACAATTCTCAAGAAGGGAATTATCAAGGAAATGTTTAAGCAAAATCTCAGGGAGAATGTCAAGTTTGCCTAAGAGAACAAATTTCCTTAAGTACTTTACAGCATCCATTTGCATATTGTACAAGGAATGTGACAATCACAGATGATTCATAGCTCTTCATTAAAGCAGGTCCAAAAGAAACTCTACATAAGCAACATTTTGCTTATTCACATCCCAGCAATGTCTCATGAAATTTCCTAATCCCATGAAGCTCTGGCCAGTCACCTGGCATCATGGCAATGTTCCTACTTGTAACTGGGTAGTTAAAAAAAAGGCATTAGATTTGAGATGAGAAGATGCGCTCTCTTCAAATCCCTTGGGCAAACCAGTTCTCCTTAGTTTTTTTCTCCATAAAATGTAGGGATTGGCCTGACCTCCAAGCTCTCTTCCAGCTCTGGCATTCTGTGCTTCTATCCTCCTATCTCTGAGAGGATGCTGGGGCAATGTTGTCTCCAGCAAAGCCTCAGTTCCTCTTTGGAAAGGTTTCCTCAAGAGCACAGAAGCCACATTGACAGAACTCTGGGGTCATTCTAAAGGAGGCTTCTGAAAGAAGCTGAATGGAAGGGTCAACTGCTGCCTCCTCCTCCATGAAATATTCTCTGCCGCACCCTCTCCCTCAGCCAGAAGAGCTGTTTTCCTCCTCTGAACGCCTACAGCTCTTTGTTCTTACTCCTCTTCTGACCCATTTTATTTTATAGTATAGTTATTTTTGAACGAATCTTACCTCCCTTACTAGACTATGAGTGAATCCTCCTCTGAGGGCAAGGACTTATGTATCTCCCTCAGCATTCAGCAAAAGTAACTACACAGAAGAGTGCTCTAAGTCTTTTTAGTGGATTGAACTTACCCCATTTTATACATGAGGAAACTGAGGCTTGCCCAGGTCACCTGGATAGTTAGTGACTTACTAGGCCTAGAACCGAGATCAGTACAGTCAAACAATCAGATCTAGAACTGGAAAGAAACTTGGAGGCCATTGAATCCAATCCCCTCATTTTATAGTTGAGGAAATTAAGGCCCAAAGAGGTTAAAATGATCTGCCCAAGGTCACATGGGTATTAAGCATCAGTGGCAGGATTTGAACCTAGGCCTTCTGACTCCAGGTCCAATACCCTTTCTCCTCTCCCATGTTATCTGATTCCTAATTAATTCAAGGCTCTTTCCACTGTACCACACTTCCTCCCTACTCTGAAGTTAGTCTCATCCCATCGGATGTCATTCCAAGTACACATCACCCAGAATTACGCTCAGCTCCCAATGCAACATGAAACTTCCTAGGCTAGAATGAATGCAATCAAAGATGGTTATCACCATAATAGGACCACTCTTCTGGATTCATTCATTGCAACGACCCTGAGACCGTGTTCAGGTTCGTGGGTGGTTCAGGTCTTAGCCAAAATGACCCCAAACAACCTCATTTTGTGCTTCGAGATCAGAGAGGTGGCTCAGTGGATAGGATGCTGGGCTTGGAATCAGGAAGACTCATCTTCCTGAGTTCAAATCTGGCCTCAGACCTTTACTAGCTGTGTGACTCTGAGCAAGTCACTTAACTCTGCCTCAGGTTTCTATCTGTAAAATGCGCTGGAGAAGGAAATGGCAAACCACAAAAATGGCAAAATGGGGTCACAAAAAGTCAGACACAACTGAAAATGACTGAACAACAACAAAACCCAACCATATCCTAGCATCCTACAGTTTGTAAAAACACACATCTCCTCAACATGCCAAGAACAGCCCAAACTAGATAAAAATGTAACTGGGGAATGTTTAACAAAAATAAATAAAAATACAATAAAAAGAGATAATATTAATACGTGGCCTTCTGAGTCACTAGGTGCCCACAGGGACCCTTCTGTATACTTCGGTGGCCCCCATTTTGATTTGAGCTTCATATAACTGCCTTAGAGGGAGAACTGGCTCGTTAGTGAGCTGGGGGCAGGGGGCATGAAGAGGAGGAAGATGGATGTAACCATTCTACTGATTCCCATCATTCCTCCAAGGGGCAAGGGGTGCTGAGAAGAGGGGTTGTCGGGAAAAAGGATCCTGGATGGAGCTGACTGAGGCTCTTGGCGAGGCCTATTAGAGGGAGTCCCTCCAGTTCATGATGGAACCTGCTCCACGAGGGAGAAGCTGTAGCAGCCATGAGATGACAGCGTGCGCACGCTCACACACACGCGCACTCACGTATGTACGCACGCACACGCACATGCAGCAAAGGACCACAGACTCCCACTGAGCACACAGACACATAACACGTACCTTAACACGTATACAATACTTGTAAACAGACACTGCAACCTGCAAAACATCTTGACACCCACATATACACTCAACATACAAACAACCCTGAACTCATACCACACCCCAAATACACAATGCTCAATACCCCTTGACATGTACCACACCTAACACAGACAATGTACAGAATACATACCCTAACATATGCGATGCTACCCAACACATGTATAAACACAAAGAAATACATACACCTCAGCCCCACAATGAAGATTCCAATGTCCACCTAAGTACAAACATAGACATCTATACCTCTCAGTGATCGAAATCCTTTTACTGGCCCTACTGTCCCAAGGCAGGAGACTTAGAAGGAGAGACAGGGAAAGCCTTGTGACTTAGCTTGGTACTTTTCTCCCCTTTCTTCCCCCACTGCCCATCTTCTATTCCCTCCAGTCCAGCTATTCGTCTAGCTCATAACCCAGCTAACATCTCAGGCACTGTTATCTCCACCTCTCATTTCTCAATTGGCCCCAAGGACTTGGTTTCCACCCTCTGAAGTCCTTATGAATCTTAGTGAACATGCCCTTCCACCTTCCCAGCTTCAGGCAGGATGAAGAGGCCCTAATGGTCTCCAGTGAAGGAGGGAGGGGCTGAGGTCAGGAGTAGCCAATCCATTAAAGCTCCATTTGGTACAAGTACAACCTGCCCAGCCCGATTAATGTCCAGCTGATCAACAAATGTCCAATGCAAGAGGAGACGCAGTAACCCTTTATTGTCCTCCTCAAAGAGGAACAGAAAAATAAACCTTCCCCAAACCTCTGGGAGAGGGAAGCTGGGTTGAGGGCAGGGACCCAGAAGGAGAAAAAGGACTCATTTTCTAGAAGGCTGGACCCATCTGTAAACATTCATCAGTGACCTTCCCCATCCCCACCTCTACTCCCTCCCCTCCAAACACACACAGAGAAGAGGGAACAGGAGCTTTTGGGGTCTGGCTGCTAGCATGCCTGGAAAAGAGGACAGAAAAAGAAGAGGAGGAGAGGAAAGAAGAGGAGAGGAGATGACTAGGTTTAGGTTTGGGGTTTTCTGTTGGATAGTTCTTCCTGGGCATGCTGAAGGGCTGGGTATGTGCCATGAAGTAGGTGACCCCTGGATATGGCGTCTATCCAAATAAAATTGAATTTTGTACTAAGGCAAACAGGTGAGCAACCTCAAGAAAAACGTAATCCCAAATGCTTTGGAGTGCAAGTCACTCTGCATGTCCCCCAGGTGATCTGGAAAGAGTCTCTAGAGTACATGCAACAGGCAAAAAAAAGAGAAGGAAAAGACAAACAATCCAGAGGTCCCACTGCTTACCTGATTTCCTCTTTGAACTTCCATAGTCCCTGAAAAAAAAGCAACAGCAGATAGACATGGTTAGCTTCAGTGTGACCGGCTACTCTTCCGAACCCTGGAGAGGAGCCCCAGGCTCCCACCCAGAGGCCCCAATCTCTCCCTCTGGCTGCTCCCTCCAGACAGAGGGATTGAACAATCCCCTGCGCAAGGGCTGGCCAGCCCCACTCAGGCTCAGGCTCAGGCTCAGCTCTGAGAGCATCTGGTGCTGCAGTCAGACTCTGGCAAAGCCATGTGATCCCCAAGGCAGGGAGAACCTTCCGCAGAGCTGCGGTGCAGGCACGCATAGCTCTGGGCTCCTCCTGGGGCTTCCCCATCATGCCCAGTCTCCCTCCCTCTGCCATCCTTTCCCCTTCGTCACCTTGGACGGTCACAGAATTAACCCCTTGGGAGCCCAGTCACCAGAACTGGAGCAAGTGCATTCCCCCTTCCCTGAATGCATAGATATCAGAGTACAGGGAAAGGAGAAGGATGTAATCTGCCATGTCCCCAACCCCTTATTTATGTGGTTCCCAGCCCCTAGACTGCCCTCAATGCCCATCTCTGTCTGTTAACATCTTAACTACCCTTCAATGCCCAGCTTAGATGGCACCTTTCCAAGAAGTCTTCTCCATGCTCTCAGGCCAAGAAATAATTGTTCCTTTAATTGATTTTATAGCACTTTATATTCTTATGTATCTATATTATAATTTGTACTATAACTTATCTGCGTGGCCTTATCATGACAACTACATTGTAAACTGCCTGAGGGTAAGGGCACTACAGCTTTATAATCTTCCTCAATGCCTAACGCAATGCAAGTCAATGAAGTAAAACTTAAATATTTGTCGAATAAATCAGTGAATCTCTAGACAATAAAATGTAAGTTCCTGGGGGCAGAGACTGTTTTTCTTTCATTTTTGTATCCACAGCACCTAGTCCAGAGCCAAAGGGGTCCAAGACACAGAACAAGTTAAGAAGCCCCACCCTAGACTACTGCAATGGTCTCCCTGCCTAAAGTCTCTCCCCATTGCAGGCTATCATCCACATGGCCATCCCACTGTAAGACCCCTACTCAATAATCTCTAGTGGCTGCTTCTATTGCCTTTATGGTAAAATAGAAACTGCTCTGACTTTTAAAGCTTTTCACAATCTCAATATACATTACCTCCCACTGCCCCCATTCCCCTCTTACCCCCAAAACTGCCAACTCTCACTCTATGATCTAGCCAAAATGGCCTTCTCTCTGTTCCTCACACATGACATCCCATCTCTTGTCTCTGGACTCTCACATTGTCTGTCCCCTATGCCAGGAATCCCTTCTCACATCTGCTTTATAAAAATCCCTCTCTTCCTTAAGATGCAGCTCAATCATGACCTTCTACAACAGGGGTTCTTAACTAAGGGGTCCATGGACAGAATCAGGAGGTCTGTGAACTTTGGTGGGAAAAAATTTACATCTTTATCATTTTCATTAAGCTTAGGTTTCCTTTTGTAAGCCTACATATTTTACTTTGTGCATTTAAAAAATATTATTCTAAGAAAAGGCACATTGGCTTCACCAGCTTGCCAAAAACGTCTATGACCTCTAAAAAGGTTAGATAAAACACATGATCTACAGGAAGCCTTTCCTGATCCCCACAGCTGCTAGCTCCCCATCCCCACCCCTACTACCTTGTATTTACTCTTTGTTGTTTTTGTTTTGGAGTTGTTTCAGTCGTGTCCATCTCTAGGCACCAATTTTGGGGGTTTTCTTGGCAAAGACACTGGAGTGGTTTGCCATTTCCTCCTCCAATTTATTCTTTAAATACGTATATATGTGTGTGTGTGTGTGTATGCATCTACATCTATATCTATCTATAATAGAATGTCAGCTCCTTCAGAGTAGGGATTATTTTATTCTTTATATTTGTAATACTAGAGCCCAGCAGAGTGCCTAGTACATAACAGTTACTTCATCAAAGCTTTCTGAATGACTGATTGATTGGTGTTTCCCTTTGCCTCTGGTTTGCAGAAATATCTTCATCTGACTCTAAACGTTTAATTCCCAGAATCTTAGACATTTGGGAGTTTAAAGGAGAGTCACATATGCCGTCTACTCCAACTGGCCAACCAGTCCAAGAATCTCTTCTAGACAGACCATATTTGATAGGGGCTTGTATCCCTTGCTTTAACACCTCTCGTGATGGGGAGCTCACTATCTCCTAAGGCAGTCCATTATGGTTTTAGAACTAAGTCTCTGTTCTTCTATTAAGTGACCCCCTGAGCCTAAGAAGAACAAGGTTGATTCTCCTTCATTTAACACTGTGGACCAAGGAGGAAAAAGAAGTACTGAGAAAAAAACCCTGAATCTCCAGGGTTCCAGGACAGTGATCTCTACTATCCTAAAACTAATCGCTTAGAAGAAAGAAGAAGATGGCGTGACTCAACTCTATCTATCTAAGAGAGGAAGCCCCTCAGATATCCCCTCTCCCCTGAGCTTCTAGAAGATGTCCCCTTAGGACTCTGCCACCGTTGTTGATAACTGGCCCCTTGGTACTGGATGGAAGGGTAGCCCTTGATGTGAGATGTATTGAGCAAGGCTCCAATCTGCCAAATATTTTCTCACCCTCATCAGTGACAGTGGCTAAAATGCTACCATAAAAGACACATTCCTCAAAGACCTAAAAGTTTTGAAGTAACCACAAATCCTATTAAAAAAGAAACAGTACTAGAAAATGTCTCACAGTACCTTTTACTAAAACACTTATACCTTAGTATAAATTAGTTTCTCAGATAATTTCCTTATGAATTTGGAAGGGCCTACAATAGAAGAAATAATAGCAATACTCCCTAGCATTTTGATGCAGCTGTTATATTCCTTCTCTCATTTGAACCCTACAACAACCTTATGAAGTGGTCTGCATGTGCATTTTTATTATCATTCTATAGGTAAGAAATCTGAGGTCCAGAGAGATTAGGAGAATTGTTCAATGCTACATGGCTAGTAAGCTAGGACTTCAACCTGGGTCTTCTGTCCACAATTCTTTCTGCTATCCCACGCTATCCCTGTGCAATGGACCCCTGGGAGAGAGGGAGAAGTTGCTAGAATATAGTGAGGTGTGGAAGAGAAATGTCACAATTTTGATTCCGACTAGTCTGGCCAAGAAGATGTTTTATTATCCCAAACACCAGCTGGAGCCAATATGCAGGTAAAGGAATATGCCCAAGACTATTCACTTGTAGCATATATAACTCTACTGCACCCTCCCCTTCTTCTAATCCTGGAGCACGGCCTAATGGAGGCATTGAAGAAGAAGAGACTAGGGAAGCCTGGGGTCCTCTTAGTATTAGAAAGTTGGTATCAACTTGTCCCTTGGGTTGAAGTTCATAGGGTTGGTACTAAACCTAAGCTTTCTGACTAAAAATTCAGTGGTTTTGTTTCACCATGTATGGCACAGAGAGCTTGCTGGTGCAACACGTAGCAGTGACAGTTAGCAAGTATCTAAAGCCAGACTGAAGGTTTGGGAATCATGTTAAGAAAAAAACATACCCTCTACCTAAGCTAACTTACTTATTCAGTGCCATACCAATCAAACTACTAAAAATTATTTTATAGAGCTAGAAAAAATAATAAGATTCATTTAGAAGAACAAAAGGTCCAGAATATCAAGGGAACTAATGAAAAGAAATGCAGGGGAAGGTGACCTAGCCATTCCAGATCTTAAATTGTATTATAAAGCAGCAATCATCAAAACTGCTTGGTGCTGGCTAAGAAATAGAGTGGTGGATCAGTGGAATAGGTTAAGTATGCAAGACACAGTAGTCAATGACTATAGTAATCTACTGTTTGATAAACCCAAAGACCCCAGCTTCTGGGATAAGAACTCACTATTTGACAAAAACTGCTGGGAAAACTGGAAAAGAGTATGGCAGAAACTAGGCATAGACCAAGATCTAATACCATATACCAAAATAAAGTCAAAATGCATACACGATTTAGATATAAAGGCTGATACCACAAGCAAACTGGGAGAGCAAGGAATAGTTTACCTGTCAAATTTATGGAGAACAGAAGAATTTATGACCAAACAAGAGATAGAGAACATTATGAAATGCAAAATGGATAATTTTGATTACATTAAATTGAAAGTTTTTACACCAACAAAGCCAATGCAACCAAGATTAGGAGGGAAGTAGAAAACTAGGAAAGAATTTTTATAACCAGTGTCTCTGAAAAGGGCCTAATTTTTAAAATATAGAGAGAACTGAGTCAAATTTATAAGAATACAAGTCATTCCCTAATTGATAAATGGTCAAAGGATATGAACAGGTAGTTTTCAGATGAAGAAATTAAAGCCATCTATAGTCATATAAAAAAATGCTCTAAATCACTATTGATTAGAGAAATGCAAATCAAAACAATATGAAGTACCACATCACACCTATCATATTGGCTAACATGATAAAACAGGAAAATGATAAATGTTGGAGATGTGGGAAAATTGGAACACTAATGCATTGTCGGTAGAGTTGTGAACTGATCCAACCATTTTGAAGAGCAATTTGGAACTACGCCCAAAGGGCTATAAAAATGTGCATACCCTTTGACCCAGCAATAGCACTTCTAGGGCTGTATCCCAAAGAGATCATAAAAATGGGAAAAGGACCCACATGTACAAAAATATTTATAGCAGCTCTTTCTGTGGTGGCAAAGAATTGGAAATTGAGGGGATGCCCATCAACTGGGGAATGGCTGAACAAGTTGTAGTATATGAATGTAATAGAATAGTATTGTGCTATAAGAAATGATGAGTAAACAAACTTCAGAAAAACCTGAAAAGACTGGTATGGACTGATGCTGATTGAAGTGAGCAGAACCAGGAGAACATTGTACACAGTAACAGTCACATTGTGCGATAACTAACTTTGATAGACTTAGCTCTTCTCAGCAACGCAAGGATCTAAGACATCTCTAAAAGTCTCATGATGGAAAATGCTATCCACATCCAGAGAAAGAACTATGGAGTCTGAA